GATTTTACTTGACATTGTTACTATTTCTTCAGATCCTTAAATTTAAATGTGAGCAGCAGATGTCAGAGAGTACCAGGAAGAGAGACAAATGGCCTCCCGTGGTCTATGTCCTGTGATATTTGGGAACAGAGGACACAGGGGCATGGCAACTAGTGTCCCCTCTGAACTCTGGCCTCTGAATTCCCATTCCTTCCCTAGGGGCAATCTGTGGGCCTCTTCCTTTGTCCTTCACTTGTCCTCATTCCCAGGGCCACCTGAGCCCATCCTCAGTCCTTCAGGGCTTTCCGCATAGGCTGTGGTTGGCTGGGGAGCCCCTAGTACTCAGCAGCAGGTGAGCCTGTCCTCTGGCCCTGGGATGTGGTGATTATTCATCAGGCCATCCCAACCTCACCCAACCATGCTAGTGGGCCCACCATCCAGGCTATGAGTCAAGGGATGCCTCCAAGCCACCTCTGCACTCCACAAGCCCCAGCAAGGTCAGCCTGTGGCTGTCACACAGAGCAAAGGACAACTCACCTGCCAGGCTCTGAGAGGACAGTCAAGGCCACGATTCACCTGAAGCCGCAGATTAGGTGGTCATTTCTAGCCAGGGCTCTTCCAGAAAGTCTGAAGGGCCTGGAGGACATACAGGGTGACTATAAGGGCTGGAGGGAGGAACCAGGTGAGAGGGCCACAGAGGTGAGGCTCTACCCAAGGGAGTATGGCCGGTCCACCTGCTCTATTGAAATTAACACAGGGTGCTAAATGCCCAGGTTCACTGGGTGAGTCCTGGCAGAACCTGGTCCCAACCCAACCCTTACAGGTTACAGGTTCCTTGAAGCCATTAGGCATCATGGAAACTTGGGCAGGAAACTGCTGCCATGGCAACTGGTATCCAGGGAGGCGTGAGCTGCCTGGCAACAGAGGCTGTGGCCTGGCCTCCCTTGAATGCTCTCAAGCCAGGTTTTCCACTCACCTGGCCAGGAATTCCAAGGGGATACATGCTCACATTCACCCCAATCCAGACCACTGATTTGCAAGATGCCTTGCATATGCATATCTGTCCCTATTCAGAATAATTACACCAAGATAGGGGTACAAGAGCCCTCTCCCCCTAGAGACCCCACCCCTAGGGGTGTTCTCAAATTCAGGGCCACATTACAAGGACCACTGGGAGGGGATGCAACCGAGTGTGAGGTTCCACAGCAGAAGGGAGTCCCCCTGGGATCTCTAATAAAAAATGCCAGAGGGGGCAGAGGCTCCCAGAGGGGCAGGGTACCCCAGTGCCTTCTTGCCTTACAGGCTGGCCTGGACACCTAGAGTGAAACATGTGGACCTTATGCCAGACACTTGGACTCTCAGGTCACCTCAGCCAGTCATCTAGCTTGGTCCCACCAACCCCCACCCCAGCCCTCTCAGCAACTACCTTCCACATGGGATTTTGGCTTGAACTCTGCAACACAGATACTATCGTGGGTAAGATAAGCTCTCTCTCCTCTCCTCTCCCTTGTCTCACCCTCTGTAAATAACTATATAAATTCTGTTCTTGTTTCTCCCTGTGTGTCTGTTTTTTGAGTCAAGTCCTGTAGTCATTAGTGAGAGGGTGAGGCAGGTGACCAGATTACCCCAGATGTCCTCCGCGTTTGCTGAGGTTCAAGACCACTCCAAATTTAGCAACTGAAGCTACTGTGCTTTGCCTGGTACATGGTGGCTCTGCAAGTCTCTCTGGTCTTGTCAACCCACTTCAGGCAGTAGGGGGAATGGATGGGCTGGGGTGACAGAAACATGTCCTCTCCTGAAACATGTCAAAGAACAGTGCCCAGTAGAGGACAGGTCACTATGTGTTCTCACCTGTGCACAATTGCAGGACCACTCAGGCCAGGGGACACCAAGAATGGAGTTTATGTAACAAATGGGAATCAGGGTTTTTCAGGCCACAAGTGGTTGGTTATCTCACCCCAAATAGTGTCCACAGTGTCAGGATGGACAGCACTGAATGGTTGATAGCTCTCAAAAGTGACCCAGACACAGCGTGCCCATCACTCTGTCATCAGTGTTACAGCCCTTTGTGAGTTATGGTCCACACCGACAAGAAACACCTCTTGGAGACAGCAGGCTGGCGCTTCTATCCTGTGCTCCTTTCAGGTTGAAGGCAAGTAAAGTAGCCTGGTCACAGCAAAGCTCTTTGAGTTCTCTTCTTTCTTTGGAGAATTACTGCTGGATGCTTTTTTCTGCTTTCCGCTTTGTTTCTTCTTCCTTCTTCAGGAGCCAAGAACAGAATGGGAGTCCCAAGTTGGCTCCCACCATGTCTTATATCCTCTTTCAGGGTCCCCCATCCTACTTGACACCTGCCTGATTGGACCATTTTCAATTACAAGTGACTAACTGAACCATTTTAGTCAGTCTCTCTGGTGCTAAATAATTGTCTAGCAAGCTGATGAACATGATTGGTTTGTTTTGCTTGAACTCATTAGTTCATTCTATGATCCAGGTGCCAAATATAAAAAAGCTATGCCCAGCCACCATCAAACCCTACCAACACCAAGCCTCTGTGTAGCCACCCTGGAAGCAGCACTATGGGCAGCCAACAGGAAACTCCCCCTCTGGCTTTGCACTCAAACCAGGCTGGCACCCCGGGGAGGGTATGCCCACAGGTGGCAACTTCTGGACCCAGTGAGGAGAATGCCACTGCTTTTCCAACAGCTCCGCTGCTTAGACACTGGTACTGCCCCTCAGCCCACACTAAGGGACTGTGTGTCCACTCCTGACCTCAAATTCTAAGCAAGGTTACTCCTCCCCCATGGCAGGGGAACCCAGAGCAGTTAGAGAGGTCAAGGCCTAATATGTGCAACTTCTTCATCTTCTCCTTCCATATTGGCAAAAATCCTTTGGCAAGAGTGAATCCCCAAGGCAGCCCCTTGGGTAAAGAGAGGAACCCTAGTTGTGAAGAGAGCAAAATCATATTGAAGAAGAGCAAGAAATTAAGAGAGAAGAGATTTATGACTGTTTCTACCACACAGGACTCATGTGCCTCCACAGAACAAAGGAGAGAACTGAGAAAGAGAAAGACATGGAAACAGGGACCCTAAGACCAGTGGTAGGAGTATGGATAAGGGTCAGCATGGTAGAATGCTGGAAGGGAGAAAAGAGAAACAAGTCTGATTAGAATCTGACTAATATCATTTGGACATTCTTAACAATCACTGAAAAGACCCCTGAAGGGAGAAGAGAAGCATGAATCAGGTTCTATCATTTACTACCACTGTGGTCTTGGGCAAGTGATTGAATGTCTTCATGTCTTAGTTTCCTGAGCATGCCCCCTCCCCCGCACCTACAAGGATAATGAGGGTCCTTTAAGGTCTTATTCAGTAAGTGGTTAAAAAACAAAACAGAACTTTAGAGATCTGTTAGGTCAAAAGGCTGGGCCATAGGATGCTGTCTTTTGTGCCAGTAGAGGTTGAGGGAAGACTCTACTGGACACTGTTTGTGGCTTGGTTTTGCTGTAAATGTACACCTGATTCATCTACTTTACATAATATGAAAATAGTTAAGGGGGCTCACATGAGTGGGATGTGAGCTATGCAGAGGAGAAATGAATGAAGAAAGTCTAAGTACAGTGACATAGTGGGAGAGTCCCCTTAACCCTTGGTCTGGCTATCTCCTGGCCCATTATGACCTCCTTAGCTGTACCCAGTCCTTTGTGACAGGTGCCACTGAGGTGGCCCTGTGAGCTATGACACCAGAGAGCCCTGAGTAAGAGGGTGGCAGGTGGAGCCAGGCCAGAGCCTGGACCTGGGGTCAGGAAGGGGTCACAGGGAGGGATGGAGGGGCCGAAAACCCTGGGCCCCTGTGGCCACTCCCACCCCCAGTGCCCCCAACCCCCAGCTTCAAGCAGCCATGGAGGATGCCTGGATCCGCCCTGCCAGGGCTTTGTCAGGTGGCCCTGTCTGGTACCTCTTTCCTCCACTCACTCGATGGAGTCAACCAGGCCTTTCCCAGGGGCTGGAGGTGGGGGACCACGGGCTAGAGGTGGGGGACCCAGAGTTGGGGGTGAGGTGCCTGGGAATTTTATTTCAAGTGACAAGGTAGAGATGCAGCATCAGAGACCAAAAGACCCAGCAGGGGCAAGGCAGGCACAAATGGAGCCAGGGTTGGGGTGGGGCTGGCCCCTGCACTCAGGACGAGAGCAGGGGGCCCCCAGGCAGGAGGTGCCCCCCAGCTCAGGGTCTAGACCCTGCCCAGGCTCACCCCTGACCCCGGGAGCAGGGACCCCGGCCTCATCCAGGGCAGCTCCCTCCCAGCTCCAGAGCATACCCCTGGGACCTGCAGAGCAGTCCTTCTTGCAATTGGAACAGGAGAACCAGAATCTGGTGAGTTAGGCACTGCTCTGGGCTGAGCCCATCTTTAATGGGCTCCAAGGCCCCAAACCCTCCCCTCTAGCCTGAAGCATTCTTCCCAGTGCCTCTGCTGTCCAAGATGTGACAGTGACAGGTGGTCCCATCTCTTTGCCTCAACCCCAGAAAAGGCAAAACCAGGACCTGCGGGAGCAGCTGGGAGCCCTCCTGGGGCCAGGGCAACAGTTCCTGCCCCTGTGCCCAGAGCACTCGAGCTGCACAGCCCTGGCCTGGGTAAGTGTGTGGCAGAGACTCAGCCCGCACAGGGCTTTGGGGAGCCAACTGGAGCAACCCTATGACAGCACACACTCCATCCCCACCCCTTCTCCCAAGCAGTCCAGGTCCACTGACCGCCCCCTGACCCTGGGCTGACCCCAGGCTCTTTCACAGTCCCCCAAACCAAGCAGCGCCCAGCCCCTGGAGGACAGAGCACCTTTGCAGCTGCTGCGGCAAGAGCTGTGCCAGGGGGAGGAGTCCTTCGTGCAGCAATCGCAGGTGGGCCCAGGAGCTGTGCCAGGGAGGGTCCTAGCACCGAAGACCCTGCCCATGTCCACACTGTACCGCTCCCACCCCACCCCACCCCAGAATGAACTGCAGCAGATCCGGTTGTCCTTTGAGAGGAAGAAGATGGCCATCACTGAGGTGCCTTCTTGGCAGAGTGGGAGGGGAAGAGGGGGGATCCACCTGGTCGGGCACATCCACAAGGCTTACTCCATGGGGCACACATGACCCAGCCTCCCCCTCCCACCAGGTGTGGGATGGTGTGGCGGAGGTACACATGGCCCTGAACAACCAGGCCACTGGCCTCCTGGTAGGTTCCCAAAGGGCGTGGAGGAGGGGACCTCCAGGGAACAGGGTGGAGGGAAGGATGGTGAGCCGCAAAAGGAGGCGGCAGGATAGTCAGGAGTAGAGGACCTATTTCACCTCTGCTCCCCAGAACCTCAAGAAAGACATCCGGGGAGTGCTAGACCAAATGGAAGACATCCAGCTGGAGATTCTAGGGTGATGTGTGGGATCAGGGGCCTGGAGAGCCTGGCTGAGCCAGGACCAGGGCGAGTGTCCTGCTCAGGTGGGGTGGACCAATGCTTGACCCCTCCCCAGTTCCACAGCACCATACCAGAGGGTGGTGTCAGGCTGGGGCAGGGGGCATTCATGCCCTGACTATATGCCCCCTACCCAGGGAGCGTGCCCAGTGCCGTACCCAGGCCAGGAAGGAGCAGATGGCATGCATAGTGGTAAGCCCCTAACCCCTCACTCGGGAAGGGGAAGAGGGCTTGAGTGGAAAAGGTAGGAGCCCCACCCGAGTCAGGTGACCAGAGTCATTCTGAAGATATGGTGGTGGGTACCTGTGCTCAGGAGGGGAGGGGGACAGGAAGTTAGCACTGAGACCCCGGGAGAAGGCGCTGACCCTGCCCCGCTCCTGCAGAAGGCAAGGCCAAAACTGGGATGTCCTGAAAGCCTCAAAGGCCAACTCTGGTAAGTGGCAGTGCACATGGGCAAAGCCCAGTCCCCTAGGGCCATCTCTATGGGCGCCCCCCCACCCCTTGACCGCCGCCGCCCGCAGGCTGCTGGCCCTGAGGCTGCTGCTGGGCGCCCTGCTGGCCTGCACCGCCGCCTATGTGTACGTGGTGGACCCTGCGCCCTTCGAGGGGCTGGTGCCGCCCCTGCTGAGCCGCGCCGCAGTCTGGAAGCTCCGGGCCCTCCTGGGCCCATTCCTGCACCTCGAGGTGGACGACTTCCTGCCCTTCTAGGCCGGAGGCCCAGCGGCCCCAGCGAGGAGGAGGCCAGGCAGCCGGCGCTGCCCCGGGTGCCCAGCGGCCACACCGGCCTTCACCCATGGCACTGCTGTGCACCGTTCCCGCCAGGAGCCGTGGAGAAGGGTGGAGGCGGGGTCTGTCCTGAGGGCTGGGCCTGCTGCTGGACATATAGTCATGACATACCCTGAGAGTGAGTTTGTTTCTATGGAAATGGAAGGGTGGGGGAAGCTTGAGGTCTCCTGAAACCCACCTCACAGTGGGGGTCCCTCACAGTGGCACACCCAATGGTTCCCCATGCCCCATCACCCACTGGACAACAGCCTTCCTCAGGAAGCCCCCAGACTACCCTAGTTGTGGGGAAGGCTCTATACCAAGCGTGTCCACTGAAAGTGAGGCCCATATATCTTCAGGCCTTAGCTCTGAATCTGCTGACCCACAGGCCTCACACCCCTTACAACGCTGGCTGGCCACCACCCCTGCTCCCCCCAGTGCTGTCCCCTCCCCAGTCCAGTATCCTAACACTGCCTCAAGGCTCAGAGGACAAGGGGATCATGTTGGTGACAGAGTCATGGAGGTAAACATCAAAGATTTTATTAAGAGCATGAAAGTGGGGCTGGGGGATACCTTTTAGAACAATAGAGAAGAGCTACGTGGTTTGCAGCTGCCCAGGCAAGAAAAGGGCAGGTGGCAGGAAAGGGGAGCAGAGGGGGGCCCACCCTGCCCCTGGGGGAATGGGGCCCAGTGAGCTCAGGGACTGGCAGGGCTGTGGGCAGTGGGGCCCTCTGAGCCCTTCAGTATGATATCTCAGGGTGAAGACTCTCAGACAAGGGAACCGGGCAGAGCCATCAAAGGGAACTTTACTGGGGGTTCAGCATCTCCTCCCCACCGACTCAACGGCTCCAGGAGGTTAAGGCATCTGTTTCTGGGCTAGATGTGGAGGAGGGAGTGCAGTGACTGCAGGGGTAACCTGAGACCCCCACCCCAGCCCAACCCACAGAGGCCTGGGCTCCCTGGGGAGGAAGTGGCATCTAAAGTGCTTGGTTGGGGAGGGGATCGGGGTGATGGTACATTACCCCGGGAAGGTTGCGCTGGTCCTTGCAACCCCAGGGCCCCTACTTGGGAGTATCAAGACCCCCTGCAGCAGGTGGGGACTTCCTGAGGTGGGTGGGCACAGGGTCACAGGCCCTGGTGGGCTGGAAGTCAGTCAAGGTGCAGCTGGTGGAGAGGGACCTCCTGGGTCCATGGCAGCCTGCCTCCCAGGTCCTGGAGCCACCTACTTGGCATCTGGTTCAGGCCCCAAGAGGCTGGGGAAAAGGTGGGAGCCAGCTGAGTGCAGGTGGCACACAGCCCCATGTGGAGGCACCCCCACAGCAGGGCTCCAGGGGACCCGCAGAGACAGGCGGTCCTCAGGGAGGCCAAGATGGCACAGGTGCAGGCTGGGGGTTACTCTGGGCTGGCCACGCAGCCCCCATCCATGACTGCAGGTACTGATCCGCCCCCTGTGGGCCGCAGCGTCCCGTAAGAGAGAAGTAGAAAGGGGGATGTCAGCATGGGACGGCAGCCCAGTGCAGGGACTGAGCCCAGCTTATCTCTCATACTGGGCCAGCCCTTGCCCCAGCACCCCACTCTCTGTCCAGGCTGTCCAGTCCTGAGAAACTGTGGGTTACCAACACACTACCAGCCCCAACATTTAGCAGGTTGGCAGGGAATGTGGGCTGATTTCCAAAAGTACAGTGACAGGGTCCCCCACACATGCATCTAAGCGTGAGTCCTTTTTACACAACCCCTAGTCCATCTGCACCCAGCCTTTGTGTTACTAGGGATACCCTGGGGTGGCTGCAGCCCAGCCTTTCTCCAAACACCCCATTACTACTAGGGGTGATGCAGACCCAGGGAACCCTCACGCTTGTCAAAGACCTGTTGCCCAGCCCCACCCCCCAGATCTCCAACTCAGCTTAAGTCCATGGACATACTCAGGAGAAAACTGATGCCAAGCTGCCAGTCACGTCTGGAGCCCGCCCTACTCTGCCTCCTACCCCCAGGTTGGCAATAATAGCCCTGTCCTTGCCGTTATTGGAGTAAAATGACACTTTTTCTGTTTTCTTTTGCTGTTATTGGATTAAAATGTTATTGGATCAAAAGGATCAAAATGACTCTTTTTCTTTTTTTAATAAAATTATAGATATATAGATGTAGATATAAAAACATAAAACAGACACAACGTAAGCGGACGCTGCTGTGTGCTTACTCTTGGGTCCCTGGTACCAGGAGGAACTGACTCCCCTCCCCAGTGTGTACCCCATGTGGGCATCACAGCTCCAATGGGGCTGCATGACATGGGGTGAGGAATCTCCAGTTTGGCAAAGAGGGGACTTCCAGTCTCACCAGATCCCTGTGGCAGCGGCCAGCCCATGCCTGCTCCAGCTTACCCCCATCGCCTCCCACAAGAGCATAAAGTAGAGGTTAAGGCTTCAATGAAAGCAGTGGGGGCAGCGGGGGGCCCAAGCATTAGTACATGGACATGGCAGGGCAGCTCAGAGCACAGACACAGGGACGTGCCCACCAGCTGGGTGAGATGGGACACATGGAGCCATGTCCCACCCACAGTTGGCTGTCTGTCCGTCCAGCTGTCTATCTGTCTGCCAGAACTCAGAGCAGGCCAGGTGCCTGTGGGACAGGGCTGGGCTCCCTACAGAGGGGCTGGCCTTATCAAGTTACAAGATCCCACAGGGCCCCTGGAAGGCAACAGTTAAGAGCAACAGGGCAGCACAACCTCTGGTCAGGGAGGAGAGCCATGGGCAGGCCTGTCTGTCTGTCTCTAAGCCACAGGGACCCATCTATACGGGTAGTAGGTGGTAGCAACTGGATTGGCAGCAACCTCAAGGACATGGGGACAGTCCATGCAGATGCAATGTGTCCCCAGAGTGCCCCAGGAGCAGGGGACCGAGGCAGATGCTGCCATCCTTGGCCCAGCCATGCCCTCATGAGCAGGTGGATGGATGAGGGAATGGAGGGCGAGGGACTGGTCGTGGAGGCGCGGTTTTCTCTCTTGCTGATGGATCCACACACCAGGCCTGGGCCTTCTCCTTTCCCAGGGCAGTGAAGTTGGGGGGAGGGGCAGCCGATGGGGGTTCCTGGTCCCAGTAGTGCCAGTGTCAGTCCTCATACCGAGATCTCGTACGTAGTCCCACCCACACCGGACACTTTCTTAACAAGCGTGTGCCGGGCAGGGTTGGCGGAGGGCCCTGGGGAGCCAGCGGCAGGTCCCAGGCGGGCCAGACTAGGAGACTGCCCGTTAAGTTTACTTTGGGGGGTCTTCAGCTGAGGGTGTTCCCTGCATCAAAACAAGCACATACATGCATGCACATGGTGAACAAGGGACTACAGCTGGACAGAGGCCAGAGGAGACAACAGGACGGATGACACAGATACAGACGGAGCCCTGGACAGCCCCTGCCCTCTGAGCTCAAAAGATACCTCCTGAAAAGTAAGACAGTGCAGAGCCTTCTGACGGGGAGGGGCTGTGCTGTCACAGGACAGACAAATATCAGAAGTGCTGTCAACCCCCTCCCAGGTTCCTTGGCCCTCCCAGTGGCGCAGACTTAAAGCCTCTGGGTCCTATCCTATGCAGGTGGCCCAAACTTGGGGACCACTGATTGGCCCCTTTCTTGTTTCTTCCTAAGAAAAGGGAGGCTGCCCCCTGCTGCCCAGTAGAGTTTCTGACTTCACTGTCAGGAGGGCGCGAGCCCCTCCCCTCAGTGGCTGTCCTGCCTTACCATGCAATGCCACCTACTCAGCCTGTCACACCCACAACAGTAGCCTCCTCACTGGCTGAGTTGTGTTCAAGATAGCTGGGTGATGCCCCCAGTATGCCAATGCACCTAGTTGCTTAGCTCTTACACAGTTAGTCTGGCATCTTCAGTGACCCATCCACTGGGGACTTGAGACCAACCTGCCCCCAAATCCTGACATTTCCCCGTCTATGCACAAGGAAGCCCTGTTTCCTGGGGCTAGATGTTCACCAAAGCCAGGACATGGCATTCCAGGTGGCATGTTCTGCCGCAGGGCAGTATCCCCCAGCCTCAGCCTCCTGGACAGATACAGTGGCACTGTCTGCAAAGGAAGATGCCCTAGGCAGGTTGCCAGACCGGCAGTCAGGGAGGTCCACAGGACCTACCCGGATGTCCTTGGAGCTGAGCTACCTTCACAAAGTCTGTCAGGAGCCACGGAGGCTCACACCCAGACAGCCACAGGCCTGGCCAAGGGGGCCCCCAGGTGTCTGGACACCTCTGCTGTGCTGGGAAGCCCACTGTACCCCTGGCACCCACCTCTGCACAGCCAGCAAGGGTGGAGGCTCTGGGAGGTCCGTATGGATGAAGGCAACGGCTTTGGGGCCCGCATAGGAGGGTGAGCAGGGAGTGCCAGGCGGGGAGGGTGGGCCCTGGTGCACCGGCGACCTGTGGGAGCCACTGCTGGGCCGGGGCCCTGGGGCATTGTTGTTAGCTAGGTCGGCCTGTAGGGAGGAAGAGGAGGTCCGAGGTGCTCGGCTCACGACACTGGACAGGGAGGACAATGATGTCTGCAGGGCTGGGTTGCGGGCACCACCAAAACCAGGCCCAGCCACCAGGTCTTCTCTGGAGCCATAGCGCAGCACAGGGCCGCGGGGCCCCTCAGACAGCATGTTGGCCTGCTGCAGGCTGTAGGAACTAGGCGCATCGTAGATGCCCGAATCACCAAAGAGCGAGTCGGCCTGAGAGCGCAGCAGCCGCTCGCGCTCCTCCCTGTCCTTGCGCTCCTGAATGGAAGCCATGATGGTCCTGGAAAGGTTGTCATAGCGTACAGGTGAGGGTTCCCGGGGACGAGGCCCCAGCACAGGGCTGAAGCTGCAGGTTGGGGGCCGTGGCAGGTCCCCCACTGCCCCTGGATGCAGGTAGGGAGAGTGATAGCTGGCCATACCAGCCGAAGGGTGGGCTGGGCACATGTGGCCACCAGGTGAGCCGGGGTTAAGAAGGCTATCGTAGGACAGACTGCCATTGCGGTTGGGCAGTGCATGGGGAGCAAAGATGCTACGGTGGGGTGTGGGGGGCCCACCCTCAGAATGCAGCGGCTGCAGGGCCACATGGTCCCTGCCCCGCTGGCCTGTGGCCTTGAGGCTCAGAGAGCGCAAGGCTCCAGAGAAAGTGCCGGCAGCACTGAGTGGCGGGGATGGTGGGTAGGCCACGTGCAGGTTGCCAGGCGGGTAGTCAGAGAGGTCCAGGCTGGGCTCAGACACAAAGTCCAGGCTGTGGATGCTTTCTTCCCCTAGCGTCAGGGAGTCAGGGACCTGTGGGGAGAGAGCGCACACGTGCTCCATGACCCATGCGCCATGTTCTGCCTATCCACTGGGAAGCTACAAACCTAGTGACAGAGGTGACACAGGCACAAGTTACAAACCCTGTTTCTCCTAACACACATCTTTTCCTTGCCTGCCAGAGAAGGAAGTAGGATGTGAGAGCAGAGACAGACTCTGTTCCTCCCCAGGGAAGGCTGCTCTGGTCCACACTCATCAGGGGTCAGTTAGGTAGTAGTGGGAGGATAGGACCATGTGGGCTGAGCCATGAGGAAATAGAGTAACTGCACAGTGACCAATGGTCCTTGTCGAGACACTTGCCAGCTGGGCATCAGGAGTGCTGCCCAAGGTCAAATTTGATTGTTGCAAACACCCAGGACGCTAGCACTCTGGGAGCCCATCCAGCCCAGGGGTGAGCCACAGCAATAGAGAGGAGGGGCCTTTTGAGTCTCCACAATTCTCAGCATAGGGACACCAGCCTGCAGAAACTGAAAATCCCAGAGAGGGTGTGGGTGGGAACAAATGTGGCTTTAGGGCACTTGGCCACCAGCTGGAAACCTCTATAAAATCCAGAACAAGCCCTGGAAGGAGGCATGATGGGCAAGGGTATCTAAAGCACCACCATTCCCAAGAAGGGCTGACACTCCTGTGGGCAGAGCTACCACATTCTGGCCAGAAGGCCAGAGACACTGCATACCAGGAGGCAGAGAAGAGAGGTCAGGACATCGGCACAGAGGGGTCAGGCTGGTCTGTATGTCCTGGGCCAGACTACAGTTCTGGCTCTGATGCCTGTGAAGGTGGGTAGGCAGTGCTGAGAAAGCCTGACCACTCTCCAGGCTCTCCAGGGCTGTTGAATGCTCCACAGTGAAATACAGAATGCTTGTATGTTTCAGGGAAAATTAAACATCCTTTCTCAAACAATCTCAAATTCTTTTGAAGCTTCTCCATGGGCGTTACAGTGCCTAATGATGGAATTCCAGGCATCCTGGCACAGATGCCTCTGGGAGCAGCCGCCTACCAGACCTCAGACAATGCCAGCCAGTGGAGGGTGAGTCTAGGACTGCCTGCGCCAGGCTCTCCCAGGACAGGCACTCTGCCTGGCTCCCCATCCCCAGCTGGGACTCCCAAAGGCTGGGGTCTTGCCAGGCCCTACAGGACCTTCAAAGTTCCAGGTAGGGGGCAGGGCTCAGGGGGCCAGAGCTTCCTGGGCTGGTGCCTGCTGGGACGGGGTGGGGCCCAGCCTCCTCACCTGCTCACCAGGCCCGCAGAAGGGTGCCTTGGGACCCGTAGGAAAAGTTGGTCGGAACTTGTACATGGCCGGTGTTGGAGGGTTGGTCCTCTGTGCTGACAGGGCACTCTCTGGGAAGATGAACCAAGGTCAGGCAAGGGACAATCAGTGCCCCTCCCCCCATGTGGCTTCCCCCACCTCACCAGCACTGCCAGGCCGTGGTGTCTGTAGGTCGCTGATAAATGTGCTAGCCTCTGCCTTGGGTGGCAGTGGCGGCCCCAAGTCCAGTGGTTTCTCATCTAGCCGATCAAGGCTGCCCTTAGACTGAGAGGGGGAGTGGTCAGTGGGACGGTGCAGGCTTGGAACATGGCTCCACTGAGGCCTCTGTCCTAGGACCACAGCACCTAGAACTCTCCCTCCCCCTTCCACTTACAGGCCTCCTTCCCACCTCCAAGGGTCTGACCTTCACTCCTTCCCCTACCCCACCGCAGGGTTCCCACCTTGCTGTGGGCCAGGCTGGCCTTTAGCCCGTTGTCACTAAGTTTGACCTTAAGTGGTGCAGATCGTTCCAGAAGCTCCGGCCTAAGGAAGGGTGGCTTCAGGCGAGTGGCTAGTGGCAGCCGAGGTGATTCCACCACATACCTGCAACAAGGGCAGAGGAGTCAGTGGCCAGAAGAACCGGGTCTGAACACACACAAGCACAAGGTTGGCCCCACCTGCCAAGGGCTGTGGCTGCCCACACCAAACCAGGGAGAGACTCCCACAACACTAGCCCAGGCCTCACCGGGGTGCCAGGGGGCTGCACAGCACATGCTCCACATTCCCATAGCAGCCTCGGGTGAAGGGGTTCACACCTCCTCGGAACTTCCCTGTCACCTGTGGACACAGGACACTTTATCCAGTCTGCTGACCCAGGGTCCAGGGCAAGACAAACAGGGAGCCAAGATAGGGAAAGTGGGGTTCCTCAAGGGTGGGTGAGTGCAAGGTCGCCCCCCCCATCCAGGTCTGTCACTAAAGGAAGCTGAGGAGTTTCTGGGTTCTGAGTCACTGGCAGCTAAAGTATCCCCAGAAGACAGTACGTCAGGGTTCAGGTGTGGTCGCATGCCATAAGCCCCACCAGCAGTCTCTGGGGCCAGATCCTCCTCCCACTGTAACTGCATAAACCACCTTGGTGGAGGGTCCCCTAGCCCTGCCTCAATTCCCACAGTTCATGGGTAGTGTATAGCCTTCTTGGCCCATTGGGGAGCCCCTCACCCCCATCACTATAGGCCCCCATCCAGGGTCTGCACCTGCTCGTTGGTGGTGCGCCCCCGGGTGACCAGTACCACGTGGAAGCCGGTGAGGCCAATGACAGGAATGAAGAAGAGGCCAGCCACACACATAACAGCCATGCTGGTCCGTTAAGGCCAATGGCCATGGGTGAGGACATGAAGAAGGTGCCTGTGAACAAACTACCCCCCACATACTGCCTACCTGGGGATAGCACCCCTTTCTGAGGGCGTTCCCAGAAGCCGACCCCACCCCTCCAAGCCTCCATTTCCCTGTGAAATGTGTCCCTGGCCCCACTGTCTCTTTGATCAGGGCAAGGATACGTGATGGTGGTGTGGGCGGCTCCCAGGCCCTCCGCATGGTTCAGCACGTAGACCAGGCCAAAGGCGACAACGCCTACCATGTGTGCACTGAGCGACAGCAGGAACAGGAAGAAATAACGGTAGTTGCGACGCCCAATGCAGTTGTTGACCCAGGGGCAGTGGTGATCAAAGTCCTAGCCAGAAGCAATGTGTCAGGGTGCACACTGTGGGGGAGGGGGAGGGACAGGACGGATAGGGAGGGGAGATCCAGGGGGAAAGGTGGCAGGGCAGTCACCTCTACGCAGTTGTCACAGACACTGCAGTGGGAGCAGCGCGGCGGGCGGTAGAAGTGGCAGGTGGCACACCACTTCATACGGACCTGGATGCCCCGTACGTCCACGTTCTTGTAGAGTGGGGCCCGGAAGTCATCCTCCTTATCCTCATCCTCATCCGCTGTGGAGGTGATGAGGGGAGGCAGCAGGAAAGTGACTTCTCTGGCAGCAGAAGCTCCTTCCCAATCTTCCAGCCCACCCACCAGAGCCTTTCCCCATCCCTGCCACAAGGCTCTTTCATGACAGCCACTCACACTCTAGCAAGAGTAAGGAAATGAGTAGCCTCAGCACAGGGCCCTACCTCGGGGGAAGACGCCTGGGTCCATGAAGGTGGCCATGCTGAAGTTGGCCAGGACAAAGAGGAAGATGATACCATTGTAGACAGGAACAGCTGGGGACACAGCTCGTGTCAACCATGGACACCTGTGGTAGAAAGAAGGATGGAACTGAGTCTGGGACTGCAAGATGTAGATGGGAAGGAGACGCAGTTACAAGGGAACTAGACATGGCCAATACATGTATAGAGTGGGCCTTCAGGCCACCTTCAGTGCTCACTGTGGCAGTAAGGAAAACAGGCTGGCTGCTGAATTTTGTGCATAGCCCACCCTCCTTTGCTCAGTCAGGAGCTGAAAGTGCTTAGCTTTCTTTTTCTCTTATTTTAAAGATTTATTTATTTATGCATACAGAACTGGGGTACAGACCAGAGGTGCAGGGGCGGTTAATAACTGGGGTTCAGGCCAGAGGTGCAGAGGATTCATCAGAGACAGAGTGGGGAGTAGAACAGGCAGGTCGATGAACTACACTGCTGAGGGGAGCAGCGGGCAAGAAAGGAGAGGTCTACTGTACCTCCAGGGCCAGGGATTGAACTCACACTGAAACGGCTGTGGCTAGCTTGCAGTGCTGTACCTGGCCCAACCTGTAGCACCGCCAGGGAGGGCCTAGCTTTCTCTTTAAGATTGATTTATTTATCCGTACAAGAATTGGGGTACAGGCCAGAGGTGCAGGGGTAGTGAGAGGATTCACCAGAGACAGAGTTGGGAGCAGACAGGCATATCTACTGAAATACACTGCTGCGGGGGCAATGGGCTGGTCAGGAGAGGTCTGCTGTGCCATGTGGGTCAGCTCCCTGAGAGAGGATTGAACTCACGCAGTAGTGGCTGGTGATAGCTTGACAGCGCTGTTTTTAACCCCTGAACCACCAGAGAGGTCCCCTGCTTAGCTTTGTATGTGCCATCTCAGACTCTGGCAACCCCCCAGCTGAGGAAACAAAGGCTCAGAGAAGCCTTGTGGTTGCACTCTTTAGGAGGGGCAGCCCAGAGCCAAGCCATATCCTCCTACCCCAGCCCAGCATCCTTCTGGTTTCTCCTGCCCTTGCAGGATCTAGACTGAAGGCAGAAGCCCAGGGTAGCCAGCAAATCTTTTCTGTCTATGAGCTATAATGGGAGAGGCCTGTGACTCATCAGACCTCACCTAGACCTGCCACCAGTCCAGTGGGGGCACCTCACTGGGGAGATTCTGGGGCTTGAGGGAGCCTTAATTCTCAGTCAATAAATATGTGACTGTCACTGTTACTCTCACCCAAAGGACATCCCTGCCAGAGAGTCCCTTTTTAGTTCGTCACCTCACTCTTGATGTGGCAGTACAGAATACTTAAAGACCTTAGAAAAGCAGGACTCCCACCACAATCCCACATACTCCTTTGCCATCCACCACACCTTAACACCAGCTCTGAGACTGCCGCCCCTTTCGGACACCTGGCTCCCTGCAAAGACCCTGCATACCGCCCCAGTGGTTATTCTGCTGAAATCTTTGCCCTCCTCAGGCCTCTACTACTTGCCCTGCTACTGGACCCTCTGTGGAGACCCACCAGTATCCTGGCATAACCTGCGGCCTCCTGCCCTGACCCTGCAGCTATTCCTTGTATCACCTGCTCAGCTCCCACAGGTGCCTCTGACCTCAGGCTCCCTGGCTTTCCCCTGGCTCCGTGGTAGAGTACCTAGGGCATTTGCTTCCCTTCTGGACCTAGACTCTTTGTGGAGCTGGGGGACACCCACAGCAGCCCAGACCATCAGGACAGGGTGACTGTGGCTGCCAGTAGGGTGAGCAAGTGTGCACTGCCCCAACACACACCAGCTACGCTGGCGATCCACGCCTGCTTTGGCCGGGAGCCAGCCCCGCCACCCGGGCAACCACCTCCATGGCAGCAGAACTTCGCTATTTTTAGTGGAAAGCAAGAGGCTATTTAAAGATTCCACTTCCCACGGCAGCATACTCAGTGGGCTGGGAGCTGCAAGCTACCCCTTCCTCTTCTCCAGAACCCACCAAGGAATGGATACGCAGGCTGAAGGAACAGGTTCCCTCTGCCAGGAGGACCTTCCTCCACCTTCCCCATTCCCAGGCTGCCTGGAGGGCTCACCTGCAAAAGTCTTCCTCATTTCCTATCCCTGCATGCTGAAGCCTGGCATACAGCCTGTGTTCAATGTATGTTTGTAAGCTCAAACCCCAAGCCACTGGGCAGAAAAACAATGGGCCTGAGGTAAGGCCTGTCCAGTAAAGTGAGGGACACTGGCCCAAACATCAGGGGAGAGCTCCCCGGGAGTTGAAAGCTGCCTGCCTGAGAGAACCAGTACACCCAGAAACCCAGATGAGGTGGTCCAAGCCAGCTCCCAAGGCACCTTCTGGAAGGGATAGCTAAGGCATAATCTGTGCAAGATGAAAATGCAGGCCCACTGTTTAAAAATTATTAAGAATTCCAAGATGGTAACAACAGAACATAAAAGCAAGCACAAGGCCCTTAGGCACCTGCACTGTCTGCGCACCAATGTAGTCAGCCTGCTCTGGCAAAGGACAGGGACTGGCTGGGTGTTCTGAGACCGGCTTAGGACAAGCAAACAGTATACCCATGGGCTGCAACAGAGGTGGGCACATAGGGGCAGCAGGCAGGACACGTGGGCAGGACAGTGCCCTGCCCCACAAATGCCATCCTCCCTCCAGCCTCCTCCCAGAGGCTGTCCTGTCCACCACCCTATTAGCCAGAAAAGGAGTCTGCATCTGCGATGGGCTTTGAACCATTACCAGGCAGAAAGGGGCTGAACCCCACAGGCTGCCCCACTCCCACACCAAAGCTTCCATAGTCAGGGCAGCCTGCATGACTTTGTCCTCCCTAAGCTGACCCCTAGGGCCCAAGGGCTGACCCTCAGTGAGATACGCAAGATTGGGGGACAGAAACTACACCACAACAGGGCACATTTGGAATTCTACACTGTAGAGGGCAACACCTGCTCTGCAGAACTGGGGGGGCCGCAGATCAGATAGCGTCAACCCACCTGCCTGACGTGCAAGCAGGGGACGGCAGAGTGAAGGTTATTCAGTTTGGGGAAGGCTGAAGAGGGGACTGGGACCTGAGCCACCAACCTGCTCACCTTTCTAGCCACGTAGGCATGCTCAGACCCTGGATCAGGCACTCCCACACATTCTTCCCCTGAAACCCTCTCCGTGGTTGCCAACCCAAGGAGATGCCATAAAGACCTAGGTCCTACCTAATTAGGGCTGGCTCATGGCTAATACACCAGGACTAGAACTCAGACACCCGGCAAAATGTATGGGGTAAGTGGAAAGAAAGATGAAAGAGACACATAGGCATGTGCACAGACAGGCATGCAGATCCAGGTGAGCATACAGGGATACCTGCATGTGCGCATATACATGTTGGCAGGTGTCTGCACACCACACAGCATGTATACACAGTCGCATGTTTGTGCCAAGTAACACACAAGGCTGGTGTGCAGAACACACGTCCACATGCAGCAGACTGGAGCATTGCATGGACAGACATGCACACTCCAGCACAATGCTAGCAAACAAGCAGGCACACTGCACCCTTACTCAGGTGCAAACACAGACGTACGCATATGCACACACAACCCTCCTCCACTGGCCCAGCCGTGGCCAACCCAGACTATCACTGGGTACCCCTTAACCTCTCTGGTCTTCTGGGGAACAGGGGGACACGACCTCACCAGGAACTCGGGAAAATTTCCTGGAGGAGGAAAGCCGTAGGCTGAGCAGCATGAAAACACGTGAGGACTGCAAGTTCTCATGGGCAAATGCTGGCAGGCAGCACTGCCCAGTTCACCTTGTCTGTCCTAGGCTCTGGAAGGGACCCTCTGCAAGCAGGGATGATACCTATTCGTGCTCAAGTGTTGGTGCACTCCAGACTGGGCCCCCCCAGGGTCACTTCCTGCAGGATATGTGGGTCTAAACGGGGCAGGCCTGGGGAGAGAGAGAGAGGAGTGCCCAAGCCTTAGGTTCCAACCCTCTTTCCAGCGGCCCACTTGGGTTGGCAGGGTGACATCACACAATGGGGCTAAGTATCCTGTAAGGGCAACATGCTCACCACAGCTAAATATGAAATGGAAGAGTTAACTCAGCAATTAGTTTTTATTTAAAATGGGTCCTTCATTAGCACTGTTTTGCATTTGAGAGTGGCACTCACAAGCAAGTTTATCTGGGACTAGTCGCTGCAGAACCCCTGTGCCCTGGTCAGGTTGAGTAAGGGCTCTGGCCACAGGAAGCCTATCCCCACCACCACCTGATTCCTGCAGATACCTGAGCAGAAGAGAAAGCTGAGTTTAAAGGACCAGGTACCCACACGCCACAAGCAGCAAGTCCTGGCAGGTCCTGCTCTATGCAGCCACTGCCAGTGGCTCTGTCTCCCTGGGCCTGCCACAGACTGTACTTCCTGATGTCCTGGGCTGTACTTTGGGAGTGTTCAGGTCCATCTTGGAGACCAGCTGTGCCATCCCATAAGTCTGCCCAGAAGAACTGGGGCAGAGACAAAATGGCCAGGCCCAGCCCCAGATACTGCAATCGGCCAGCTTCCTGGCTCTCTGATGTTCTCAGAGTCCCCATCACTCTGAGCAGAGGAAAGGGAAGGGATGGAGGACTGGCCTGGTGACCTGTGGATCCTTTCAGCACCTGGCATTGAACCACAGTATGAAGGGCTTCTGGGGCACAGGGGGACATGACCTCATCAGGAACTCTGGAAAGTTTCCTGGAGGAGGAAGACAATTGAGAACTTGCCCTGTGGTATACAAGCCATCCTTGCCTCCAGGGATCCTTCCCATGCTCCAGCTTTTAATGGTCACATGTTTGAATGTCCTGCTAGTTCCAAACCCTCAGTGCTGACCTAAGAGAGGCTCTTTGGTCCTCTAGGCCCCTAGATCTACACGCTGTGAGGACTTGCCCTCAAGGGGTCAACTGGTGTTTGCTAAGTGCAATGAGGGGGCCTGGGCCACTCAGGGTTCAGCGACATCACAGATGCAGAGGCAGGTAAGAGTGAAGACCTCTGGGAGGAGACCTCTCGGCACCCTGAGGGTGGGGCAAAGGGGCACAGGACCAAGCTGCTCTCTCCTAATCACATGTCAATCTGCAGTGGGCCCGGGCCTGGAAACATAGTGGAAGTGTGGGTGCTGGGTGACAAGAAGCCTGTTTGTAGAAGGGGACCGTCTGAACCCTTCTTCCCTCAGTTGGCAAACCTTGGGGGCACTACTGGGCCTAGCCCATCTCACAGAGCCCTTCTCAGAAACCCAGCAGAGCTGAGGTCAGGGAACATTTTATTTGGGTATGGGGATGTAAGGCTCCCTTGGCTGGACAGTGGCTGTACCTGGTCCCCTGTGCTGCCACAGAGAACATAGGCTGAGTAGATCATACGCAGGACAAGGTGCAGAGAATGGCCTATGGTGCCTCAAGAGAACTTGCACCTCACTAACAATGCCAGAGTCCCTCAACCCAGGACCCAGCTGTGAGAAGAAAGGAAGGAAGAACTGGTCCCCATAGCCCCAGCAGGGTGGAACAGTCTCAGGACCCACCACTTGTGGGTTGCTGGTCAGTTCACAGGACAGCTGTGTAAGGAAACTGAACTCACAGGAAGGGCTCACAACAATCAGGCTATGGAGAGCCAGGTAACTATAGGAGACAGCCCAATTTTTAAAATGATTTTTTAAATTATTTATTTGTTTTCCCCTACATTTTACAAGTTCTCAATAAAGAACATGCACTTTTCAATCAGGAGAAAAAACTGAAGTACACTTGGGCAGTGAGAAACTTGGCAAGTAGAGGCCATATTGTAGAACTCAGACCGGTCTATCCCACTCACAACCCCAGCACCCCACCCCAGCCCAGAGCTAGGAATGAAGACCCAGCAAAACATGTCCCTCTCAGCCTGCATCCACTGCCCACCTGCCCCTCTCCTCTCTGCCCCACAGCCTGCAACGTCTGAGTGACAAGAACACGCCTGCTCACCAAAGCCAGAAATAAGCCCATCCACACAGGCCTTTTTTAAACATGTTCTTGGCAGCCTGTGGCACCCACCGCTCCCGGCCTCCACAGGCGCCCAATGCAGACTCACCGTCCACACAGCCACCACACTCACTCTTGCTAAGGTGACAGGGTGCCAAGCAGGTGCCCACATCTGCTGTAGGTCCATTCACACTCAGGGCTGACTGCCTGGTAACAGAGGCCCTGCAGATGGCAGTCACCCCAAACCTTAGGTCTGCAGAAAGGCCTGAGTGGTCGTGCTGTGGTCACCTAGATGGTATCTCAGAATTGTGAAAAGTGATTGCAGATCTGCATGGCTGAAGCCTGAAGCTCCAACCCTCCTTCATGCCTGAAGGAACCCTGGGGAAGGGGCAGGATCACCTATAAGGTGCTGTGTCCTCAGCATGCTAGGCCATTCGCCACTCAGATCAGTCAGCCAGCTGGTGTCAAAGGGAAAGCTCAGGCTGCACAGGCCTAGAGCCCAACTTGTCCTCCACCACCAGGGTCCCAGAGCTCGCCATGGTTGGTGGCCCCACTGGGGCCCTCCAGCTGCAGCCAACTAGCCTTCCTGTGAGGTAGGTCAAGGGATGGTCAAGGAGACTGCCAGACCAACATAGCTGGCAGGCTGTGAGTATGTACACCATAGCCATGACAGCCACACCTACATGGGAACAACCAGACTCTGGACTAAAGCTAGATTACCTGGCTCTGGTGAGGACCCAAGAGCAGGCCTCAGGGTTCCTTACCCAGGTCCCTCACTCAGTCTGAGGAGAAGGAGGTTGCAGCCACACCCTGGGCAGTTGCTGTACACAATCCCTTGCCCAAGGCCAGCACCTCACACTCATGGTCATTCAAGAGGGCCTGCCAGAAACTAGTGTCCCCCATGCAGGTTTCACCTGTGTCTGGTGCCTAAGGGTGGGATCATCAGGGTGGTGATTCACGTGGCCCGCAGTCCTGGTGCCAGCTCCTGCCCTGCCTGATGGTGCCTGCACCACAATCCCTCTGGCTGAGCCGCCCCTAATCCAGGCCCCTTTTGGGCCGCCGGGGCCCCCGGCGAGTGGCGGACTCACGTGAACACGAAGAACAGGGTGCTGGAGCCGACCAGCAGCGCAGCGGCCGTAGCCACCGGGATATACTTGGCGGGTTTGAGGCGCGTCCCGGGGCTGCGGGGCATCCTGGGCGCCGCGCCGCCGCATCCCTCCCCGAGGCCGGGCAG